TTAGGTCTCATCACTCTTTTATTAAGCAATTCAAGGAGATATAACCAAGTTACGCCCGGACTTCGAATTGATTGCTAAATTCATCATTTTCAGTGCTGGTAGTACCACCAAATATTTAGAAGGTTCCCTCCATACCAGTCAAGTGTGATTTTTTTTTTTCAGACTGATTGTGTAACATGAATTTACTTTATGTTCTGCTCATGCTATTTCAATTGATAATAACTGTTCTAGAGAAACATGTTGATTAGCTCCAGTTTTATTGCCGCAGCTTAAAACAAAGTGCTATCTCACGAGCCTCGTTTGACTTCTATCCAAAGGAACCAACAACATGGGCGCAACATGTAGCTGCTGTGGCTTTTAACAGCATTCTTCTTGGTGAATTGGTTGTCCCAGATTGGGATATGTTTTATGTATGGCATGCCATCTGTTTCTTTCTTTGTTTATCTGTAAAATCCATCTCATGGTATTTTGATAAGCTTCTTAACAACTTTTTAGAGTCTCCATGATGCAGCCGAGTTTCATGCAGTCGCTAGAGCTGTGGGAGGCTGTGGAGTGTATGTCAGGTAAACGCTTTTCTGATGGTGCTATAACCGCGTAATTAAGCTTGTTGTTAGTTATACAACTACGTGAAACCTTTCCTTGAGACTTGAGAGATAGCATTATGGCATTCCTGCTCACCTGCTTGCCCCTTTTTCTATTTTTCGGCTAAATACGAACACCACTGTGCCTGACCACATGTTTATGTTGTATGTATGTATCTACATATGTTGTGTTTTTGACAACAGTGATAAACCTGGACGGCATGATTTCGAGATACTACAGAGGCTTGTACTTCTTGATGGATCAGTACTAAGAGCCAAATACGCCGGAAGACCATCTCAAGATTGTTTATTTACTGATCCAGTCACGGATGGGAAGAGGTACATTGAATTTGAGTCCCTCTTGTAGTGCATAAAAATTTGTAGACTCCTACATTAATATCCAGAGCTTGGGGGTGTCTGTTTGTAGTCTTCTAAAAATATGGAACTTGAACAAATGTACGGGAGTTGTTGGCATCTTCAATTGCCATGGAACCTGGCCAGGGCCTTCCATAAACAAGGGAGACCAGATGGTTCCCGGCGCTGAGCTCTCCGGACAGATCTCTCCTGCTTGCGTCGAGTATTTTGAGGAGGTATCAGGTGAGATATGGACCGGCGAAAGTGCAGTCTTTTCCTTCAATACAGGTGGTGTTTCTCGATTGCCGATGGAAGGATCATTGAACGTGATATTAAAACCTTTGGAGTGTGATGTGTTTACTGTATCTCCTATCAAGGTTTTGCGTTGATACTTTGCATCAAGTTCGCTTGTGAATTCGTTTTTGCTGATTAATTAACAACAAAGACAATAACAGGTTTACAATGAAGAAATCGAGTTCGCAGCGATCGGATTAGTGAACATGTACAATTCCGGGGGAGCCTTGGAGTCTGTCGAGGGTTCCACTGCCACCGATAATTTCGGTTCTAGTAAATATACAGTACATGTTAAGGGGAGAGGAGCCGGTTGCTTCGGGGCATACTCTAATTGCAAGCCCATCTCTTCCTCCATAAACATGAAAAATGTGGATTTTAACTTCAATGCCCAACAAAATCTTCTTACTATAACCATCCCTCCCACATTCAACTCATCTTGGGACATTGCCATCTGTTACTAACTCCTCATCCTCGTTATCTGTTTATAGCATTTTGATTTGTAGTGTGAAATTCAATTATTATCATTAATATTAGAACATTTTAGTGATTATAATGTCTATTAATATAAAAATTATTAAAATCTATTATTTTTATTAAAAAAATCTATTAAAATAAAATAAGAAAAAAAATTTAAATATAAAAAATTATATAGATAAAAAGTAAATAAAAGAAACAAAAGACTATAACAAAATTATTATTATTATTATTATTTAATTAACATCAAAACCGGGATAATTTTACACAAAAACCACCCTAAAACTAAATATTAAATAAGAATATTAAATAAAACATAAGAAAAATTAAATAATAATAATTAAATATTTATCAAATAAAATTTAATAAAATATTTTTATCATATTCGATAGTTGAGACGAAATATGATTTTCATCCGATCATAATGTACTTTCATTTTTTTAACTGCACACGTTTAAAAAAATAGTAATTAAAATTAAGTAAAAATTAAATAAATTTATGAAATAAAAAAAAAAAATACTTGCATCACGAATTGCAACTTAAACGTTCTGAAACATTTGTAGAAGAAAGTAAGAGAGAAAAATAGATCGAATAGATAATTTTTGGTGTGATGTGTAATGAAGGGGATTTAATTAGGGTTTATATAGGGTTGAGGGAGGGGAAAAGTGCGGGAAATGGGAGAGGAGAAGAAGAGGTAATCAGGGAAAGGGAAAGGGAAGGGGTGAAATTATTAAAATCACAACAAAAACGTGTTTTATAAGAAGCGTTTTAGTCAGATTAGAACAAAAAATAAAACGTGCCTTTTAAATAGACTGTCAGATCAGTATATAGTACTTCTTGTAAAACGTGCTTTTATTGAATAAAATAGAGTAAAACACATTATGCAAAACAAATATTATTTTGTTGAGTAAAATAGAGTAAAACACATTATGTAAAACAAATAATATTACCATATTATACGAGAGAGTGACATTTTAGTAAATATTAAAAAATAATATTTTGATAAATAATAAATTTTAAAATGGGTTTTAAGTAAAATTGTCCAAAACGGGGGAAACGTTTATGGTACATAGTATATGGTAAAAGCATGTACACTGACTTTGAATAAAACAAGAGTTTGAACTAAAAGTTTGAAACGGTGTAGAAGTATTGTTTTTTTTTTTAGATGCCTAATGGAATACGTCACTTTAAAATATATTAGTGTCACGACGAAGCATTCGGAAAGGTTCCATTAGGTTTAATTAATTAAAGGACATTCTGGCCTTGCCGAGTTTACGCTGTCCACCTCCTAGGACTTGCCTTAGTTAAAATCGAATTTCAGGTTATCAGATATTTAAATTGTAGTAGTTATTATATTATATTTATCGTAATTGTAGATATAACGAATATTATTATAATTATTGTAGATATTGTTATTGTAATTTTTTTTAATTCTGATTTTTTAATAAAAAAGTTGTTTCTTTTAAAAGAATTAAAATAAGTGAATAATAGTAAAATAACGATCCATTATTATCGCGATCGGTTAAATTACGGGAACAAGCAGCTGCTATTTTCCGCTGTAACAATTTTGGAGATCGCTGTCACGGCGATATAACGGCTACAGTATCATTATTCGGCCCATATTTGAATCCCAGGTTGAGATCATCCAATCCAACCAAAGATAGTTGTTTTCCTCTATATCTTTGGTGTTTTGTTTGCTGACTTGGTCGCCGTCGTCATCTTTTCTTCTCAAATAGAATCAGAATGTCTTACGCTTACCTTTTCAAGTACATAATCATCGGAGATACCGGTATATATAGTCAATCTCTTCTTTCTCGTTTGCTATCGTTATTATTGATTATCGATGAATTTGCCATCTGATATGGCTTTGATGATCTCTCATCTCATCTGATCTGATCTTTTTAGGAGTGGGGAAATCATGTCTTCTTCTTCAGTTCACAGACAAGCGGTTTCAGCCAGTACACGATCTTACCATCGGTGTTGAATTTGGGGCCAGGATGATCACAATCGACAATAAACCCATTAAGCTCCAAATCTGGGACACCGTAATTTTCTCCCTCTTTCTCTCTTTTTCTCTTTGACTATTTTTTTGCTTATCTAGTTTCTTATTTATACACATGACAGGCAGGTCAAGAATCCTTCAGATCCATTACCAGGTCCTAATAGAGGAGCTGCTGGTGCCCTGCTTGTGTACGATATTTCCAGATAACTCTTATCATATTCATGTTACTATCTGTGTTTCTGGACGCCTACAAACGATCTTTTAAGTCTAATTTGATAATTGATTTGATTCTACACAGGAGGGAAACTTTTAATCACTTGGCTAGCTGGTTGGAGGATGCCAGGCAGCATGCTAATGCTAACATGACCATTATGCTCATCGGTAATAAGTCTGACCTTGCTCATAGGAGGGCTGTAACCACTGAGGAAGGCGAGCAATTTGCTAAGGAGCATGGTTTGATCTTCATGGAGGCCTCTGCTAAAACTGCTCAGAATGTCGAGGAGGTCTGCCCTCCGTTTATACTGAACAATTTTCTTCTGGTTTCTATTCTATGCTTTACCACTACCAACTATTTTATCTATTTTTCTCTTATTTTGCAGGCATTTATAAAAACTGCTGCAACCATTTACACAAAGATTCAGGATGGAGTGTTTGATGTCTCGAACGAGGTTATCTCCCTCATCCACTTTTATATCTCCTTAGATTATTTGTTTCAAATTAGTCACATTTACTTAAACTCAGTTGCAATAAATATGTTTCGTCCATATGGAATATAGTTATTCATGCCTGATGAGCATTCAAAAGAGTTAGATTGATCAGGTTATGAACTTCTAGAGTAGCTTGAAATGCAAAGGGGTGAAGCATATTGCTTCTTTATTGTATTTTTTTCCCAAGTAATGACTTTTCTCATAATTGCCAGTTTTAAGCTCTACTAACCATATAATTCAAAGAAAAATTGATAAAAAAAAATAAATAAATTCAGAGACTATGTTATTCTATTTTGCATAGTTTTTCATGTTTAAATGCAACTTTCAAGGATACATTGTTAGTTGTTACCAAGGTAAGAGTTTGTTTGTCATACTTCTATGCCATGTTTAGGAATATGATTATGTACTTGAAAGGTGTAAAAAGGAATTTGAAATTCACAAATACTTATAGGAGTTCCAATTCTTTGCTAAATAGGCACCTCACATTTACATCTGAGTTATCACACAGCTTTCACTATTTTTGAAATCCAATATTCCAAACTCTACCATAGTGAAATTTTAATCAGAATCACTAAAAGCCTAAAATGGTAATTGATCATTGTTTCTGTGCATCAAACAAGTGCACTTCCACTTTGTCAATGACCAATGCTATTGAAGGTGATACCATTTAATAAGATAAAATGGAATATGCATATTGACAGCAGAAATATGATTCCAAGTAAAAAATCACAAAACTGGTTTGATAACCAAGAGTTGAGGTGTGGGTAGGTTGATGAGCTTCACAGTATGCTGAGTGATGGGGTAATATTGGTTTGTGTTGGGTGCAAGAAAAGTTAACTTCCATTTAGGTGTCCTTGAAGATTACCTAGATCTTGAACCCCGACTGTTACCATTCTTCAACAGTGTCATATCATCATCAATATTATTCTTTCGCGAAGCTATGAAGTTTGGATGGTATGTGGAAGTGCATGTTAGCATGTTGCAACACTTGGTGCAGACTATATAAACAGTTATCTTTGAACACAAAAGAAGAAAAAGAAATGTTCTGTTTCTCTTGCTTTGCCATGTTACGTAGATAGAATGCGCGAATTCCATAGCCTGACATTCTTTCTTCTTATTGGTTTCAAGTCGTATGGCATAAAAGTTGGATACGGTGGAATTCCAGGGCCTTCCGGAGGTCGAGATGGTTCTTCTTCTCAAGGTGGCGGCTGCTGCAATTGAAGTTTGAGTTCTCATTTCCAAAATATGAAATACAGCTGCTTCATGTAACTTTAAACATTCTTTTAGTTCCTTGTTTGATTTGATAGTCCCTGAATACTGTGTCAAGTGATTTATATAATCCATGCACATGTGTTCTCCATTCGATTCTAAATTTGATTTCATTTGTGAGAACTGTGATGAAGAGAAATTGTGAAAAATATGGGGTATTGATTTTTTGTTTTAAAGGTGTGCTTATATCTGAATCGAGTGAAAGCTTGTATTTGTCAGGGCTATTTCAGCTTAAATGTTTATGTACATACACAGGAATGTCCTTGGTTTGATTTAAGTCTTTCTTGTGCAAAGGAAGAATGCTTTAGCCTTAATAATGCAGAAATTTAATAGGAGAGGTGGCTGTGAATGTATCGATCAATACATTAAATATATCTAAATCAGATATTTGATATACTCATTGGAAGTATATATTTGATAAATCAGACATAAGTGAATCTATTGATCTTGAAACAGATAGTCATCCATCTATCAGATAAACAGATGTTACTTGTAATCATAATATCTGTAATCATATTAGAATGTTCAAAACATAGCTTTTCCAAGATAGCCATCCACTTTTCCACATATTCAAACCTGTACAAACTGTGGCAGCTATGTTTTGATCAAGGTAGATCATAGCAGATGCTACCAGCAAAGTGAAACAACAAAGATCTGTAGGGTCTGGAACCCGGTTTACGCCGTATAGCAACTCTTCCTCCGGCTAATGCCTTCCCGAACAATTTCATTTTTCCTAGCAGGGAGATCAGATTTGTTCAAAATTTTCTGAATGTCTATACAGGTTACTACTGGGCGTCACTATGCCTTGAAGCTTCCAACCACCATATCCTGCTACAGCAAACGCCTGAAAAGTTAAGACACTAGGTTCAGCAATGACTCATCCGTTCAAAAGTTAAAAGCAAAAAATATCTCCAATCTCAAATCTGACAATAATTAGTTATGGTGACTAAGCCGAACTTGTCAAGTTTTTGCATCTTAATATCTGTACCCGTCCAAAACAAACATTAAATTTAACCACCACTTTCAATATATGGAGTTTCGTTAATTAAAAAGAAGAATAAACAAGGTATCAGCCACAGAATAAACACCATAGCTCATTGGCACCAAACTCTTCTTTCATATGGCACCAATTCTATATAGAAATGCCACGTTAAAACATCAGTTCTCATTGATGAATCTATTACAAGCACATTAACATAAATGCAAAAAAAAAACTCCAAACCCTGAAAAAGAGGTGGTCTCAAATCTATGAACACAAGAAGCAAAAGCTACAGGCATAGCCCCTCAAAAAACTTAATTGTACTTATTTAGAAGGGCATCACTCAATCCAGTTCTAAACATGGTTGATCCCACTTCCCCCATCAATCAACCAATGAATTATGATAGTATGCCCTATTTTACAAGGAAACAATGTTTATCCAACAAAAAGCAGTTTTCAAAAGTTTGGTACTAGGTTGCATGGATGATTATACTTCCAAGTGAATATCCTTTGAAAGTGTATTCAATATACACCCTGTAGGCCTCTACAAGAACCCTTGAATGACCTCATTTTATGTTGGCCGTACACTTCTATTCTTTTGATGTGAGACAAATATCGAGCAGACAATGCATGGATTTTGTGCTCCAAATATAAGGAAAACAAAGAAAAAAAAAGAATATACTTGGGTTAGAATGTATGTACATATCCTACATCCATGGAGTACAAGCAAAACAGGCCTTATTTCATGCAGTTAGGCAACAAGATCAGAAACGTCCAACTACATATTTTTATTGTTTAAAAAATGTATAAGACGGAAAACTTGCATCAGCCTTGTCTATAACTTATCATGTTCTCAAACAAAATATCATTAATATAAACTGAAAAGTCTACAGATTCTATGAGAACACTCAACAGAAAACTCATATAAACTAGATTATGCTCTAATCTCTATAAGAGCTTACGAGAATAGTTCACAAGTCCAACTTAGCAAAGCAGTTCTTGCAGATAAAAGTAATACATACAGTAATAAAAGCATTGAGTGTTTTGATTTGGCATATGCTTAGCTTATAAAGGTTATATTTATATATTACTTTCACAAAAGTATAAGGCAAAAATGACACAGAGACAACATGACAGAAAATATTTTATGAAAGGATATCAAACCTCTTCCCAAGATTTTCCAGGAGCTTCAAGCAAAGCAGCATTGCAAGTCTTGAGCTCTACGGAAGCACCAGTGAACATGGAGGCTGCCTCTTCCCATCCTCTATTATGTCCCATGCACCCGTATAACTAATATAGTGAGAATCTGTGATAAATTACAAATAGATATTTTCATAGGAAACAAAAACACAATTACACTAGTCAGGCTTCAACTAAAGAGTGGAAACCTGAACCTCGAACCAGAATGAACATTTGAAATTAAATAAAGCCAGCAAAGGAAAATCAAAGTAGAAAGCAAAAGAGAACACTAACATGATGGTAAGTATCTCATCCGTTGAATACTGACAGATAGTTCGTTGGAGGTGTTCAGCAGTCTGTCCATCCATGGCTGCAATGGAATAAAAACTAGATATAAAATGGACCTCTGCTTCCAGAAAACCACGCACCTGTTCCTGCATGATTTTAAGTGTTTCTCTGGTTCGCACGGCATCGCTTGAACAAAATGAATTAAGAGTTTCAGTTCCTTTTTGTCTTCTAAAAATCAATTCTAAGATTTTCAAAATATGAAGCTTAGAGAAGATAAGCTAGCTAACCTGGATAAAATAAGTTGAGGGATCCAACCCATACGTTGGAGCTTTTGAGAAACCGCTATAGCATCAACTCGTCCGGATTTACTGAGAGGACGGTCGTGATCTGATGGGGCAGGGATTCGCCAAATTGTGGCATTCACCATTAGGAAAATTAAGATAGCAAGATATGGGATTAATAAAAACAAGAGGTCAAGGTAAAGAGAATTTTTTGAAGAAGAAAAACGAACCTCGTAAAGCCGGATGTTGCCAAGAACTCTTGGCATGACGAAGTATAATGAGGCGGCGATAGGTAGATTGAACCTCCGACCCGGCTAGCTGCACCTCCGCCTCAATCGTCAAACACCTCCTCTTCCTCCGGCGCAAATAGATGGGGACTGGGCTTAAGCCAATGCTCAATGGCTTGGAGGTTGAGAGGCAAGAGCCCACTCCTACCGTAGCACTAGCATTCATTTCTGATTTCAGCGAGTTTTCTAGTATCTTTGGAATAGAAATATCTGAATTATATAACTAATTATTAATAAACACATTTTAAATGTTAAAATAATAAATATTATTTATTAAAAAAATATATAAGTAACTATCATATATGGTTTAAAAGTAAATAAGTAATTATTATTTATTAAAAATATATTTTAAAACTGAAAAAGCCTACTTCTATTGAGAAATTAGGCGATTTTCCCGATATATTATCGTTGAACAGTATAATTACATATTAGGTATCGTTCAAATTATATTTTTTGATCTAACATCTTTTATAGAAAGACGCGCCCATTACAGCACGTTTTATGTTGATTTGGTGCCACGTGGGGTAAGACGCGCCTTTGAAGTGCGTCTTATGCTGACTTAGCATACACATGTGTAAAGCGCGGCCCCAGGGCGCGCCTTAGGCAACCTAGGAGTATAGCATAGGTCAGGGGCCGCGTCTTACCTTTAACACAATTATATTAGGCGCGGAACAAGAGCTGCATTTTAGCTTTATCTGATATAATTATGTAAGGCGCGGTGCATGTACCGCGTCTTGTAGATTTTCCCGACTATAAATACCCTTTCCCCGGGAGAACTCCTCACATCTTCTCTCGATTATAAAAAAAATTAATACAACAATCCGACAATCTTTTCATATTTAATTCAGAAGTTCGTGCGATTTTTCGTTATAAGGTAATTTTATGATAATTTTTTTTATTATACTTATTGTTTATTATAATTATTTGAAAAAATATTATACTAGTTGTTGTTAATTAATTCCTGTGTTTGTAAAATTAGAAAGCGGGAGTATACGTCGAAATAGTTTTGCGGTATAGGTAATAATATAAAATTATATTATTTAAATTAATTAAGTTTATGTGTAACAAATTTATTGTGTTATATTTTCGTTCATAAATTATTTATTTAATCAGCATTGTTTCAGGTTTTTTTTTTTACAGATATAATATTGTCGCACTTTTAAACTCAAAGAATGACACGACTTTCAGCTATTGTTTATTATGATGGTGAAATTCGAGAAGATGAAACCAGCGTTGTTTTCATACCAAATGAGCGTGTTAAAATATCATTGAAGAAAAATATAACTCTTGAGGAGCTGATAACGAAGATTTCGATGAAGATTCATATTGGAAGTAGTAGAAGAATGTCGTCGTTGCAGTACAGATTTCCAACATCATTGTTGCCATTAACTTATACAACGTTCGAACTTTTGAACAATGATGATGTTGAAATGATGGTTGAAGCTCAGAGTAATTATTCAGACGCCGATATGAGATGTATGCAAATTTTATTCAAGTGCGTGTTGTTCAGGGTCAATCATTAAGCTCTCACTATGGGCTGACTGAACAAATTGATCAAGTTGATAGCCCGACGACAGTAATGTGTAATGATTTTAATGCCATAATAGGGAGACATTCATCTGTAACTCCTTACGATATGTACCGAGGTGGGTCGACGAACAATCCGTATGGTAACATCGCGTCTAGTTCAAGGGGAAGACATTCATCTACAAATCCCTTTGACCTTAATATGGAGATGCCATCGACGCAACAATCTGTGCAGTTTCCATTTGACACGATGGCTTCAAGCTCCAGGGGGAGGCATTCGACTGCGAGCTTTTTCGATCTGAATATCGATATGCCTTCCAGTTCAAGGGGAAGATGTACAAGTAGTAGGTTCTTCGACCTAAATGTGGAGCGCATGGAGGAATCATCATCTCCACCAGAATAACCGCTTCGTGAGCCTGGTGCGGATGGTGCTGAGACTGGACTATTCATTCACCCAGAATCACCGCAATTCAACTCCGATGATGATGGTGATGTGGATGAAGTTCCAGCAAATGTGGTACAAACTAACCCCGCGATACACATGTATGAAGCTGATTATGGTGCAATGTATGGGCCAGAATTTGCGGATATGCCTCATCTCGGTGACTATGGATATTACTCATCAATAAATAATGGTGAGTTATATTTAAGCATGGAGTTTCAAGCAAAGAATAAGCGATGATTGCTATAAAAAAATACAATATCCGTAATTCTGTTCAATCGAGAGTCGACCTCTCCACGACAGAAAAATATGTATGCTACTGTGCCAGACGCGAAAACGATTGCAATTGGATGGTTCACGTATCGGAGAGGAAGAGGAAAAACAACAGATGAGAACTAACAGTATACAACGGTCCTCACACATGTTGTGCTGGAAGGGTCAACCAAGATCATCCTAACTTAGACTCTGAAGTGATATGCCAAGCCATCATGCCCATGGTAAAAGCAAGTTATCATATAGTTGTTGCTGTGTTGATATAGAAAAGCTTGGTTGGCAAAACAAAATGCTATTGTCAAACTTCATGGCGAATGAGATGCATCTTATAACGAACTTCCAGGCTGGTGCGGAGGTTGAATCCTGGGATAATTGTGGACTTCGAAACCTCCTATGCATACCATAATGATCGAGTTCTCTGCGATCGATGCCAAGTCTATTGGGTTTTTTGGACTTACCCACAGTGCGTTAATACTGTCAAATACTACAAGCTTGTGGTCCAGATTGACGAGACTTTCTTGTATGGAAAATACAAGCAAGTTATTGGTCCAAGATGGCAATCGTAAAATTCTTCCAGTTGCTTTTGCTATTGTCGAATGAAAAGATACATATTCTTGGGCTTTTTTCCTCCAAAATTTACGCGCACATATTATCACGAGGGAAAAAATCTGTGTCATTTCAGATCGCGGAGCTGGGATCAAAACAGCAATGGAGTCTTTGTGTCCAATGTGGCAACCACCCTTTGTCCAACATAGGTATTGTCTCCGACACATTGTTGCGAACTACCATGGAAGATACAAGAAGAATGATGAGCATCAATTACTTGTGTGCATGGGTAAGTGAAACTGATGTAGTTTATTTTCTTTCGATCCTTTTGATCAGGTTAGTAAGTTATACATTTTTTTATCAGGTTACGAACTACTTCCTCGAATCTTTGAATTAATGCTTCAAGATTTGTGGGCGAAGAACGAGGAAGGATACGATTACATCAGCCTCATCGATAAAGAAATGTGGACGAACGCATATAATGGTGGATATCGATATGGACACATGACGACCAACTTGGCAGAGGCAATCAATTCAACCTTAAAGGGTACACGTCACTTACTTATAACGGCTTTGGTAAAGACTATATATTTTTGTTTGGGGGCGTTTTTTGCGAAGCTCGGGGGACAAACTCAAACATGGATGCAAGGAAGTCATGTTTATCACCTTAGATTAGTTGCAGATCTACAGAAAAAAATTATTACATCAAATGGGATGTCTGTAACAAGTTTCTCTAGAAGGCATGAAGTGTTTCGTGTCACAAAGTTGCCGCAACCTCTTCAAGGGATTGAAGCTGCGTCGTTAAGAGTAAATCTAAGGGATAGAACGTGTGACTGCGGGTTTTTTCAAGCTCTGAAATATCCATGCTCTCATATGATAGCAGTTTGCTCGCATACACGTCAAGACTATAACCATTTTGTGGATCACCTATACCTACTATATGAAGTTTTTAAGGTATACGAATTTGAGTTCTCCCATAGTTAATGACAAAGACCCTGATGAGGTTCAAGATTGTACCAAATCCGAGTTTATTGAGGGAGCGTGGTCGTCCAAAATCTAATCGAATTCATTGCGATATAGATATTTGAGAAAGATCTAGACAAGACAGAAGATGTGGGCATTGTAGAAACCCATGACACACTAGAAAAACATGTCCACTTCTGTTGTCATCAAGTAACAATTGATGAGAAAATGATGTAGTTGTTTATCAATTAATAATTATTGTACTTTAATTTGCATTTACTTTAAGTTAATGTTATCCGATAACTGCTGATGAAGATTAAAAAAATGATATAATTATACGAGATTGGACGTTGACGTTATATTAACAAATAACTGATATTAACGATACAATAAATATTAAATGGTAAATGATAACCAAATTACAATAACTAATATTAAATGGTAATAAACAAAATTAAGCAAAATAAATTAACAAAAAGTCTAACAAATTCAAAAAAATAAATTAAAATAAATCTAACCATATTAATAAATTAAAGTAAGTTTTAAATGATAAATAATCAAAATAATTACAATAAAAAAGTCCAATAAACAACTACAATAAAAAGTACTAAATACAAATATAATAAAAAAAACAAAATCTATCGATGTCTGCGACGCGAATGTGTTATGCAGGGCAGTGGCTGTCGGTCTCGAGGAGGATTTCTTCGTATCACTGGTTGTGACTCCTCGCTGTCATCATCGTCGTCGTCATCGTCATCGTCGTCGTCGTTTCCGTCGTCGTCATCCTGAGCAGCTAAATTTTGTTGATGAGGAGTTGATGACGATGAAACACCTCCATAGAATAAAGACCCTGGAGGTGTATGACTGACTATCCCACCGGCCTGCGAAAACTGGAAAAACTCATAAAAATCATACATCGCTGAGTGTGAAAACTGTACAGGAGGTGTCTGTGCTGCGGCCATGGGTGATGAGGTTGAACCCGCCAAATATTTAGCATATGAACCCCAAGTCCGATCTGCAAACATAGACCTATAATAGCATCCAGGAGAGGTCATAAAACTCTGTGAAGGTGGCGGCAGCGGGGTAATAAAACCAGGTGAATGCGGCGGCGGCGACATCTGGTAATGGAAAGGCGGTGACAGCATCATATATGGCTGCGGTATGTAAGTCGTTGTAGACGGTGGTTGTTGTGAAGGTCATACTGGTGCAGCTGAGGATGAACCGGAAGCACCTACTCTCCATCCACGAGTCAGGGGATGATGGTGCTGTGTCGGTGAACGTCTCTGTCGATGTCGTGGAAAGGTCCGCCCTCGTGCATCCTCGGGAAGCAGAAACAGTTTCCCGTTTCTATTGAACCAATCATAATAATCATCATCAACCATCAAGTCATCAACATAAATGGGCTCTCTACGGGGAAGGCGCCGATGTCGATCCTCCCACAACACGACCCACTCATGATGCCTCACCAGTCAATCTGTATCGGTCTTGTCGCGTCTATCTGTGCTATGCAACTCGTCTATATTGCGAGGTGCTTCTGGAATTGGCTGAAAATAACCAAATTGCCGGAGTACACGATCAGTGAAGTGCCACTCGGCGATCGCATAACAGATCAAATGGACCATCGCCATCCAAACATCTGATGGGCCCCTCAACTCAGGTGGAATCACCGTCCTCACATCATCATTAGAATATGACACCCATTCAAACTAAAACAAATATATATAATTTTTATCAAAATAATAATCTAATTATATAACTATAATCTAAAATCGATTTTTAAACATTAAAATTCATACTTGTGTGCCAGCTTTTTGATCGATGAGCACCCTAATTTTTTCTAAATCATCAGGTAGCTCCTGATGATTTTTCCTATCAGTATACCACCTATTCATGAAAAAAATTATTATACGCTATATAAAATGATTAATATACGAAATCAATTTTATAATTACCTCAAGAGTAGCGGAAATACAAATGGGTTCTTCACAACGGGACATAAAAAGGGCAATGATACCATGCCCAAGACTGCAGCAGGAGGAGACATCCGCCGATAGCATTTCTCCTGTAGTCAGTGGCTCGACAAATCTCCCTGTACAATAAAGCCAAAACTACCGAGCCCCAACTGAGTGATCCGGTCAGACGAAAGTGGACAAGATGTCGTAACCACATACAGTGAACTTGGTTGCACGATTTGTCCGGCATCAACAACCCTCCTATCATCTGCAGTATGCATGCCTGTGCATACATTTTAACTTCATCATCTGACGCGTCCTTGCTCAACTCTCGAAAATTGGCAGCTAACCAATTTAACGGTATCCGACCACCGTTAAAACTTTCTGGGACACGTCCTAGATTATCCCGACACAAAGTAGTACAGGAACCCTGCGTGATCCCCGATATCACATCTCCATCCACCGGAAGCCCCAGGTGCATAGCAACATCCTCAAGTGTAATCGTGCATTCTCCACACGGAAGATTGAATGTGTGGGTCTCCGGCCTCCACTGCTCAACTAAGGCATAAATAAGGTCTTGTTCTATCTTACAGTGACCCTGATATCTACCTATGTAACCGAATCCAGCCTCTACTAAATACGACAAGACACGACTAGGTATCACTAACTTAAGATTCCTAATAAAAGGATCTAATACATGGTCATTCTCCTAAAATTAAATAATTACAAAAATTAATTCTTAATCTAATAATCATGTATTAAATAAATCAACAAATTATTACTAATAATTTTAATTAAATTAAAACATTAAAATATTACCGTATCAGCAAAGTGTCGAGATATATGATTATCATCCAAACGAAGTAGACCGTCTTCCATTTTATATCTGTAAAAAAATTAATTAAATAAAATATTAAATAAATTAAATAATTAAATAAATTAAATACAAAATATTAAAAATATAATAAAATATACCTTAGACAGAGATTATGAGAGTATTTGAGAGAAGTTGATAGAATTTGGTGTGATGAAAGTGATTGAGGATGAGGGTATTTATAGGGAGGGATTGAGATGTGAAACGTCGGAGTATGTGGGTAATTATAGTTAAGGCGCGCCTTTGTGACGCGTGGCAGATTCTGGGGTAAGGCACCGCCCCTGCACCACGTTATACCCGCTTTACACACATGTATGCTAAGTCAGCATAAGGCTTCAGGGGGCGCGTCTTACCCCCACGTGACACCAAATTAGCGTAAAACGCGTTGTTGGGGACGCGCCTTTCTGCAAAGGTGTTAGATCGAAAAATATAGTCTGAACGATGCATGATTGATAATTACACTGTTCAACGGTGATATATCGGGAAAATCACCGAAAAATTAATAGAAAAAAATGTTGTAACCAATACGACACAATATGTAAAACAAAAATTAAAGTCAAACAAAAAATAATTGAATCTTTAGATTTGTTGATTAGTAGGTGATCAAAATATACATACGTTAGTTCGAGTTCTTGTGTATTTAGAAAATATTCGTTAGGAAATTCACCTATTAAAATTAGATGTACGATCTGAGTCGATTCGAATTAGTTAAGATAAATCTTGGAACCGAAATGACATATATATATATATATATAATTCATATAAAATTATATGAGATAATATACATACATATATATATATACACTATGCCTTACCATATTACTTGTTTTTATTTAATTAATTAACATTTCGAACTTTTTAATTTTTATCAGGTCGGAATGGTGAATTTGTGAAAGCAGCCTACATATTTTTTTACAGTCTCAAATCACAATGGATTGTAGGAGAGAAAATAGTATACATGAATAGATTTTGCGATTTGGTTAGGTGATTATCAGTTTTTTATTAGGTCAGGTAATATGCCTTACCATATTACTTGTTTTTATTTAATTAATTAACTTTTCGAACTTTTTAATTTTTATCAGGTCGGAATGGTGAAATTGGGCCATTGGGATACAAGTATACATCACCGTCTTTTGCTTCCTGATAAAGGGCATTCGGCATTCAGTTCAGATACACGTATATATATATATATATATATATATATATTTATATTATTTGCAACATAATACATACGAGATATAGAATGCAAGCTAGAAGTGTATAGGGTTTTAAGGGTTCCCGGTTAACAATCGCAAAAAAATGAAAACAACGGTATCTCTTGTCGATTTTCTGTCCATTCAGTTGTTTAATTTTCTCAGCATTAAATTGCTTTGATTGCGGGTGTGTACTTTGTAACTTTTGAATCGATGATTTCAGGGTGAGCAGAGGGAAGAAGAAAGAAGACGACTGGAGGAGTTGGTCGAAAGCAATCCCGATGACTCATCCCTTCATTTTCAGCTTGTAAGTTGCAATAAAAGGAATAGTAATAGCAAATATCGGTTCATTTTGTTTGTTTCCTTGTTTTTTTTATTGTTCTCAGCAAAATACCGATACTAACGGAAGCAATGCACATGTGAATTTGCATTGCAGGGAGTATGCTTGTGGGAAACACGAACAGAGAAAGAGAAAGAGAAAGAGAAAGAGAAAGAGAAAGCGGCAGAGCAGTGGGTGATTTCCGTTAAACAAAACCCTAAAAACGCAGCTGCCTTCACATACTTGGGCCACTACTATGCCACTGATTTGGTCGATATCCCAAGGGCTATCAAATGTTACCAGCGAGCTCTATCACTTCAACCCGATGATTCCGATGCTGCGGTATATATATTCATCCTATATTTGTCTATTTCGTTACTTCTTCTTTGATTGATAAATAAAATACGCTCGCAGGAAGCTTTGTGTGATTTGTTGGACAGACAAGGGAAGGAGACCTTGGAGCTTGCAATTTGCAAAGATGCTTCTCACAACTCTCCCAGGGCTTTCTGGGCTTTCCGCCGATTGGGTTTTCTCCAGGTTTTCCCTTATCTTTTCTCATTTGAAAGAGTTGAAGTTTTATTTATTTATTTATTTTAATTTTTATTGGTGTGCATATGCATTCATCAAATGGAGCAGGTTCATCAAAAGCAATGGCCTGAAGCTGTACAAAGTCTTCAACATGCCATTCGCGGCTATCCCACTTCTCCTGACTTGTGGGAAGTAGGTTCCCCCTTTAATTATACTACCTACCTATTCTGTTTTCAACATGTTGTTTAATTTTGTGCACCCTTGTCGAATAATAACTCATTTTTCTTCTAGGCTCTTGGTCTTGCCTACCACCGACTTGGCATGTTTACTGCCGCTATTAAGGTATTTCACTTCCCATTCGTCTTCTAAACTTATTTTGATCTTCAGAGCAAAATACTCCTCAACTTATTTGGTATGTGATTCACATACCACAAATATGGAATTGGGGCAATTAGGCATTAGATGCTTTCGTCAGGTATGCTGCAATGCTGCATAACTTGGAAAACTTAAGAACAAACAGTTAACTGATTGCTATTTTCATGTGTACAAATGAACATGCAGAAAGCAAGACATCCCATTCATTTCAATATTTTCTTATTTGTCTTATCCATGCACATCATAAAGAAGGCTCCCCTTTTAATTGTCAAAGGATTTCTTTCCTAAATTTATCTTCTGGGTCCTATATGACCATTGAGCAATTAATTTATTATGGCATTTTTTAACAGTCCTATTCGCGAGCTATTGAATTGGAGGATACAAGAGTCTTTGCACTGATTGAATGTGGAAACATCTTTTTGATGCTTGGTTCCTTTAGAAAGGTAAATCTTTTTTGCTATGTTTTCCTTCTGATTCACTATGTCTTTATCTTTGTATCATTTGTAGAGGTTGGAGCGCTCATGGATATTAAGCTGACAAGTTTTGATTTTCTTTTATTGCACTACTCTTCATGCATGCTTTATGAAATGATGGCAACCATGTGAAATGGCATTGTCTTTATTCATCAAGGGAATTGAGCAATTTCAGCAAGCACTTAAGATCTCACCACATAATATGTCTGCACTCTATGGACTTGCTTCTGGGCTGCTTGGTATGTCAAAAGAATGTAGAAACTCAGGAGCATTTAGATGGGCAGCTTCATTATTAGAGGTTAATCATCTTCCAGTTTCATTGAGTAAATTGCAACTATAATGATGGAAAAAGCAAGAAGATAATAGTTCTATCATGGATTGTTGCAGGATGCATGTAAAGTTGCAGAAGCAAGCATCCAAGCAGCTGGAAATTCATCATGTACATGGAAGTTACATGGTGATATTCTGGTAAATAATCTAAATTTAGCCCTTAGACATCCTTTGATTTTTATCTATTTATTTTTAAATTTTGGTGGGGAAGGGGGGAATCACCTTATGTGCACCGTATTTGTTAGCAATCCTATTCTTATAACATAATCAATTCAATATTGAGGGATATATTTCTCCTGGCCAGCTTACATATGCACAAGTTTTTCCATGGACGGGGGAGAGCCAAACTTCAGAATATAATGCAGAAGCTTTCAAGAAGTCCATATATTCATGGAAGAATACCTGCCGTTTGGCTGCTATTTCTGCCAGAAACTCATATCAACAAGCTTTGCACTTAGCCCCATGGCAGGCTAACATCTATGTCGACATTGCAATTAGTTCTAATCTAATTTCTTCTTTCAATGAGGATTACACACTTGATAATACTTGGTAAGATCTTGGGTGTTCTTTTTTCTTTCTTTTTTTGCACAACCATTTCATGTTCCTGCAGATTTGCTTGTTTGACATGTTATCTTCTTTTTTTTTTTTATCAGGAAGTTACCAGAGAAGTTGACATTGGGGGCTTTAGCACTAGAGGGTGAGAATTTTGAGTTCTGGGTGGCTTTGAGCTGTTTGTCCGAGTGCAATGCATTGAGACAGCATGCTTTAATCAGGGGACTGCAGTTGGATGTGTCTTTAGCTAATGCTTGGGCATATCTTGGAAAGGTACCATCCACTTATTTTATTTTCCTGGATTTAGTTTTAAGTTTGAAAATAAATTAACTTTTTTTATTTATTTATGAATTGACTAATGTTGCATTTACAATGTGCTGAGTATGTAGAAAAATAAAATCTTGTTTAGGCAGGCTATATTCTATGGGAAGAATGCTGATGATATCAGATGTCATATTCAGTAGGTGATTAGTAGTTTGGTCCCTGAATCTGTTGTGTTAGAAGTCACTTTCTACAGATGGTCAGAAACATGAAAAAAGTGCAATTCTTAGCTTAAATGCAACCCAAAGATTAACCTTTGAAGTGTATGCTTAAAATTGTGTTGATCCATGCTTGTTGTTAAGAATCTAATTGTTGATGTCTTGATGAATATCTACCAACTCTATGTTTTGGCAGCTTTATAGCGAAGAGAATAAGAAATTGGCTACGCAAGCATTTGACTCTGCTAGAGGTATAGATCCATCATTGCCATTGCCGTGGGCTGGCATGTCAGTTGATACTCAAACTGGGTAAAGTTTTTACCTGTTTCTGTTAACAAGATACTTAGAAATGATTTGTTGGTTAATAGTCATATCAATACTGAACCACACTCGATTTTTTAGGGATTCAACACCAGATGATGCTTTTGAGAGTTGCCTACGTGCTGTGGAGATATTGCCGGTAAGTGTTCATATTTATGTTTTATGCTATCCCCACAATATGAAATTAACATTGAATTAATTTTTTTCTGCATGATCCTGTATGGTCAGAACAGAAACTAGTATATGAATGTGGTAATCATATCATACCAGAACAATTTTAACTGTATGGGTTGACCTGCATTTTACAAATACTTTATGCAACTGTAATCAGATCTTTGCTTTATTTGCAGCTTGCAGAGTTTCAAATTGGACTTGCTAAACTTTCTTTGCTTTCAGGGAACCTTTCATCGTCCCAGGTATAGCAAGTAAAATGTCTGTACATCTTCAAAAAAGGGGAGAAAAAGGAAACATGGGAAAGTCACATAAGTCTATTAGAATCAAATAGTGCCAAACAAATGGAATGACATTTCTAACACTGAAAGAAAGTCAACCTCACAAATAGTTGAAACATACCAGTATTCAGAATTCTGATTGTTTCAAGACACATATCTGCTATTCTCCTGAAAGATTTAGCTGTAGCAAAGCTGATAAGAACCAAGCTTTAACAACTAAGTGATAGTTGTGTTTTATAACAGGTATTTGCAGCTATGCAGCAGGCTGTTCAACGTGCACCACATTACAGTGAATCCCATAATTTAAATGGGCTAGTTCATGAGGCACATTTGAATTTTCAAGCTGCCATTGCTTCTTATAGGCTAGCTCGCTATGCCATCAAGGTGTCTTCAGGCACTGTCCTCAAGTCTCATTTGAAAGACGTATCTACTAATTTGGCTAGATCACTTATAAAGGTAAAGAACTTGATTTTTTCATGTACAAGTGTAGGTTTTAGACATTTGATTATATCTTTTAATTTAATCTTATTGTCAGTTTGTCACAGACTCATAAGCATAAAAAACTTAGTTTATCCTTTCTTTAATTAGCAAACTTTTTTTATAAGAGTTATAGGCCTCGTTAAAAACCCCCTTCATGATTAATGGAGCTTGTAGAGAAGCTCCTTAATCAGCGGAAGGAGGAAAAGAGTGCCTTAAAATTTCATTAATAACAAGATAAGATACATAACAATTACAACACCCAAAAAGTTCCCTTACATAAAAACCTTAAACCCAAAAATAACAGCCCTTAACATCAACACTGAACTCAGCTTATTCCAGCCTTAGCTAAGGCATCAGCCTCTAAGTTAGCTGTCTTAGCAACCCATCTAACCACACCCTCAAAATCTTTGAGCCTATCAACGATGTCTTTTACAATAAAAGCATACACATCTGGACATAGTTCAACATTCTTGATCCAGTCCACTGCCACCTTACTATCACTCTCAATAATCAAACAATCCTTAACAAGCCCTCGAAAAGAGACGAAGAAAAGTAAACCCTTTTGAATAGCTTTAAGCTCCATCAAGATAGGAGGACCCGGACGAGAAGGCTCCTTGAAAGAACCTAAAATCGAACCATTATCATTTCTTAGAACGCCACCTAAACCACTCCTCTTCCAGTCAAAGCTAGTAGCAGCATCTACAATCAATTTAATGAAGCCCTTAGGAGGAGGGGACCAAGGAACAATCGATTTGAATACTGAACTAGAATTTCCTAGAGAAGGATCAGATATAAGAGAATCCTTAGGAATAGAAATCTCACTGTACTTGGCTAAGAACCAAGAAGCAAGCCTAAACCTTGCTAAGAAAAATAATTCGGTCTAGTCTAACTTCCCCCCTTCGAACACAATGGCATTCCTGACTTTCAAGATGGTTCATAAAACAACCCTTGGAACAAATGACCATATAGAAGAATTGGTCTTCAAATCTTCCCATGCTAGTAGAAAACTCTTAGCATTTTCATGGAAAACAGAATGTCCAAATTATTCCATAATGTCCACACAATAGAACAAGTAAAAAATAAATGTGATAAAGACTCCTCCTCCAACTTTCAAAGTGGGCATAAAACATCATCAATACCCTGAACCCTCTTTTAAACAGTTTTGTCTTTACTGCCAGTTTCTGAAGAACAACTTGCCACACAAACGATTCCACTCTTGGAGGTAGCAGACCCCTCCAAATTATGTTTTTCCAGAAATGAACCTCCTCCGAACCCGATGAACACAACTTAACACGAGCTAACATAATACATACCATCCTCATTGCCTTTCCAAATCAGACCATCATTGGATTCTTTAGATAGGCTGATATTCGAAATGATTGACATCATATTAGACCATTGTTCAAATTCCCAATCATTCAAATTTCTTCTCAATTGAACATTCCAAAACCAACCCATAGATTGATATTCACCAAACTCGATTAATTTGCCAAGCTTGTTTGAGGAAATGGAAAACAGTTTAGGAAAAATAAGCAAAAGTGGATAATCCATAGCCCAAGGATCTTGCCAAAACCGAATGAACTCACCATTACCTACTTGAAAACTACACATGCTTCGAAGCTTCGAACCAAAAGGTTCTTCTTTGAAATGGTTGTTCACCACCGATCTCCAAATCCAAGAAGCTTGAGTTGGAACCTTACTATCAAACAATAATAATAATGAATCAATATTGTATTTGCTGCAAATCATCTTCCTCCAAACAAAGTTTCTGTCATTAGCAAACCTCCAAGACCATTTCCCTAATAGAGCTTTGTTCATATTGTTAAGACTCAGCACACCCAAGCCTCCCTCATTCTTTGGTTTACACACAATGGACTAATTAACCCAATGTATCTTGTTTTTATCAATACCCCCTCCCCATAAGAACTTAGACATAATTGAATTTAGGATTTTGTTAACCGAGGCTAAAATCTTAAGCAAAGACAAAAAATACATTGGAAGCGAGCATAGGACCGACTTAACCAATACCAATCTTCCTGCTAATGAAAGAGTAGAAGCCTTCCAACCAACAAGTTTCTTGTGAAAATTCTGAACCACCGGATCCCAAAGAGCTGATGAATTCTTATTAGCACCAAGAGGAAGTCCTAGGTATTCTGAAGAAAAGCCCCCAACTGAAGAACCAATAGTCCTTGCCTAGTCTTCAACCTCCTGTTGATTCGCATTAATTCCAAACAATTTGCATTTCTTTAGATTCAACTGAAGTCCATAAATAACTTCAATTACTTTAAGAACCCTCTTGACATTCAAAATTTGCATCTTCGAAGCACCACAAAAGATTATGAGGTCATCGGCATATTGCAAATGAGTTAAGTTCATAGACCCCTCCTCCCTACCTATTACCAATCCAGTAAAAACCCCTCAAAAACTGCCTTTAGAAGTAATAAATTAAGAAGTTCCCCTACTAAATTGAACAACAGTGGAGACAGAGAACAACCCTGACGAAGACCCTTTGCCATTGGGAATTCTTCAGAAGGAACCCCATTGACCAATACTGACACAGAGGCTGTAGTTACACATTTCCTTATCCAACCACTCTATCTGGAACCAAAGCCCATTTTCTCCATAACTTTAAACATAATAGGCCAATCAACTGTATCATAAGCCTTCTTGAAGTTCACCTTAAAAACACAACCCTTGAGTTTTTTTTTCCTCCAAAAATCAATTCCCTCATTAGCAATAAGAGAGCAGTCCAAGATTTGACAACCAGGGATGAAAACAAATTGTGTGGAACTGATGATGTCTTTGATGCAACTTCTTAACCTCCTCGAAAGGCACTTAGATAGGATCTTATATAACCCTCCTACTAAGCTAATAGGTCTATAGTCATCCAAACCACCAATGTTGGAGCTCTTCGGAATGAGAGTGATGAAAGTGTTATTAATACCATGTTCCCAATCTTTCCCCTCGTAGAAATTGTGGAAAAATTTTAGAATGTCTTCCTTTAGGACATGCCAGAACCTTTTGAAAAAACCTAAATTTAATCCATCTGGCCCAGGAGCTTTGTTACTGTCACACGAATTTAATGTCTCCCAAATTTCTTCCTCCGAAAACTCTTTTTCTAAATGAAGACTTTGCTCCAAAGAAATTCTAGAAAAATTCAGCCTTATATCTTCCATTTCCAATGTAGACCGAAAATTAAAGATTTTGAAAAAGTAATCCCTGACAGTGGCCTTGATAACAGTAGGGTCTTGGATAATCTTTCCTTTGACATTTAGAGCATCAATAACATTCCTCTTTCTCCTAACTGAAGCACAAGTATGGAAAAATCTGGTGATGCGATCCCTGTCTTCTACCCATTTCGATCTGGAATTTTGGTACCAAATTTGCTCCTCAATCTTATAAAGTCTCCATAATTCTGTTTGAAGGGTATTCAACTCTGTTGCTTTTTCACTATCACATACATCTTGCAACTGCTGGACCTCTTCCTCTAACTTGTGAATCTTCCTTTTTAATTCTGTAATCGATTCTCCTGGAAACTGATCTCTCCTCCCAGCCCAATTTTTAATGGCTAGTTTGGTTCTTTTCAGGATACTCAAAATTCTAACTTTTCTTTGATTTTTCTTGCAGTCTTGAATGGAAAAACTGACCAGATCCTCAAAGCCATCCTCATCCATCAAATAATTAAAGAGTCTAAAAGGTTTTTTACCCCAATTTGCTCCTCCAGTCTGAAGAATTATAGCATTAAGATCTGACACAGACCTGGGAAGTAAAGATTGAGCGATTTTAGGAAAAGCAGCCAAGAAGTGAGCATCAACCAAAAACCTATCCAGTCTTACAAAAGTGGGGATATCTTTATTATTGCACCATGTGAACCTACCCCCATTCAAAGGTAGATCAATTAACCCTGTTTGTTGAATAAAATGGCTGAAGATCCCCATAGAATTTCTGTTTTGAGTTCTTCCTACCTTCTCCTCTTATGATAAGTAAACATTGAAGTCCCCTCCCACGCATAATGGAAGATTTTGTCCATTCAGAAACGTGCACAACTCTTCAAAAAAACTAGCTTTCTCATCCTCCACTGAAGGTCCGTAAACGTTAATGAAGCCACATCTAAATTGATTAGATCGAAATTTCCCTGAAATAGCAATAAATCTTCTACTAATGTACTGATTTTCCAACTCGAACGTGTTGTCATCCAACAACACAGTAAACCTCCTGATGAACCAACCGCTAGTGATTCTATAAACCCTTGAAGATTATTCAGCCCACTCCTAAGAAAAGATCTCTTTATCTTCACAGATTTGGTTTCTTGCAACCAAAGAAATGAAGGAGAGTTCTTTGCCACCAATCTTTGAACAGCCCTCTGTTTCTCCTTTCTTCTCAAACCCCTAACATTCCATGGAACAATTATTAACTGTCTTCATAATTAATTAATCAGTAATTTGATTACCCCCATAATAAAAACTCCTTAATTGTCCAAATTCATGTCATTCTCCAAGTTGATATTTTTTTTTCCAAAAAGGTTATCTTCCCTTGCTTAAAAGATACCCCCAGTAGCTTACTAATTTCCCAAGTAGTTAAGGCTTCCTCCAAGAGATCCGAAAAGGCTGAAGATGATACTGTTGTGATACTAATTTGATCTAAGGCTTCCCTTAACAGTAGTCTTCTGACTCTTCTGTTGAACAAGTTGGATTTGAAACCATAACTATCTCCTTCTGAAAACCATCCTTCAATCTCATTATCGAAGGTCCTGTCAAATGAAAGTCTCTCAATAGTAGGTTCCACATAGCGTTGATTGTTCAAATCTGCTACCAATTTAACTGTTCGAACTGAACTTAAGGCCAGATCATTTTCCTTCTGACTGCCAAAGGCTCCTTCTGTTTCAGATATAAAGTTTTGGTCATTCCCAAACCAATATTTTCTCTCCCTAGACCTTTTGTAAACCTTTTTATAGCTGAACAATCTTCTCCTCTCCAACGGTTCACTCTTTGTAGATAACAAACATTTAGACCGATAAAACGATCTACCCCTTGAATTTCTTTCTGTAAATTCTGTATTAGGCTCTATCAACATTAATTCAGCTTCTTGATCCTCTATTCCAGCATGATCAGTTATATGGATTCTCTCCCTTATCTTCTTCCTCTTTACTGGCAGACACAGGCAGATTAAGTTTATGTTCCATTTCCCGAATCATACATTGATTTTCAGAACTTTCTTTCTTTTTTTCAATTCCCATAATCTTTAAATTAATAGCTGGCCCATAAGGATAGAGTCTCGATAGTGGAGACATGGACTCACAATCACTTTCGGTATGGGCTTGTTCATTTTCCAGCAAATTGAAATTTTTCCTAATGCCCAACCCCTCAAATTTTCCTGTCGATTTTCTCCCAGAAACCAGAATATCTGACAGACTTCCTTTATTATGTTCCCCAGCACTCTCCTGTTGCCTTGACTTTAACCCTCCATAGCCGCAAACAAAGTCTGCAACTCCAGTACCATCCATCCACTTTTCAACCCTATACCGAGTTCCTTTTGTCAGACTGATCACTTTTTTCAAACTTTTCTGATGCCCAATCTTCCTCCTTCTCCGACGCTGCACCCTCACCTGATCTATCCTCCGATGCCATCTCTGAATACAATTTTGAAGCTGCAGGTGATTTTTTAAAGACAGGCCCTATCTTTATTTTTACCTTATATGATCTCCCATAAGATCCTAACGTGATCACTTCTGGAACGTTAAAGGGGCTCGCCACCCTCAACAGCAACCTTGCCACCGCCATATATTCTCTTTTCGCCACAGAGTCATGAATGCGCATCATCTTCCCCCCACCTCTGAACCAGCTTCTCCAAAAAAGGAGCATTCCAACACAACATAGGAACACCATCAAGTTCCACCGAACAAAAGGCCAATGGAACTCCATCTTCACTCAGAAGAGGTTCAAGCCAATCAAACCAAAAAAAATAATTCCTCTTTCTTATTCGACCACACCTCATTAAACTCTTCAATCGAACCGAAAGTCACCTGGCAGGATTTCCAAGCGTAACCCCAGCTGGCAATCTTTACCTTAATCCCATCACTGGCCAAACCCTTTTGAACCAGCTCTAAATCGAATAAAGGTTTGATGATTCCTATTAAAGATCTTCTAACCCACTCTGATTCATCCGAAGGGACGTGCATCTCCCATACATTTCTCATCCCAGGAGCCCTTCGAGAGCAACCTTCTCTTTGATCCTTTAACACCGTTTCATCCCTACCATTCAAGACTAAAGCATCCTTTTATGATTTTCCATCTCTCAAGCTGCTCAAAGAATAATCTCCCTCTCTTTTTCTCCTATATTCTCCCCTGTTTAATTCCTCTTTTCCTGTCTTGGGTCTGCTGGTATCAGCAATCCTATACCTATAGCTTTGGTATTCCGCAGCCCCTACAGTGACTCTCTTCCCATCAATCCACACTCCATTGATGTTTTCAATCGCCTTCTTTAAGCCTTCCTCCTTCTCAAATTGAACGAAAGCGAACGTTTGATTCCTATACTTAGGATTTTTTGAAACACTCGGAATGTATACCCTCACTACTTTTCCCTGATGTTGGAAAAGTTCTCTAACTGTTCTCCTAGATACCCTCTTACTCAAGTTATCCACAAACGCCGTCCATTCCTGACTGGAGGAAGGATGAGTTACCTGATCTCTTTTTTCTCTCACTCGACCTCTCTCTCTCTCTTGACCATTCTCTCTCATCTTTTATTATACACCGTAAGTTCTAATTCATTTAGTTTCTATGATTTGGTAACATTAATTAGCAAACTTTTACTTTGTTTATTTCATGGGCAGGCAGGGAATGCTGCTGGTGCTGTGCAAGAATGTGAAGACTTGGACAAAGAAGGTTTTTATTATAATACCCCTTTAGTCTTTTAATGGCTATGGCTATCATGTTTTTCTTTATCTAATTCGAAACATCCGGATAAAGAACATAGTTGACTTTTGACTTCTCTAGATTTTATGTTTTCTCTGAATGAAACTAGTTTCTATTTTTGAGCTTAGAAGAAGTGTGATTAATTTGTTGTATGTAATGTGTTTTCTGTAAGGTATGCTTGATGCTGAAGGTTTGCAAATATATGCTTTCTCGTTATGGCGACTGGGTGATCATGACTCTGCCATCTCTGTGACTAGAACCCTAGCTGCCGGCGTTTCTAGCATGGACAGGATATCTGCAGCTGTGTCTGTTAGTTTCATTTGTAGATTGCTGTACTACATTTCTGGACTTGATGTAGCAATTGGTAGCATTCTGAAAATGCCAAAGGAACTCTTTAGAAGTTCAAAAATAAGCTTTATTGTCTCTGCCATTAATGCGCTGGATCAGAATAATAGGCTGGAATCCATTATTTCAAGCAGTCGTTCCTTTCTTGCATCACAAGAGGATATCACCAGAATGCACTATCTAATAGCACTTAGCAAACTAGTATGCTTGCTCTGTTGATTTTAGATTGGGTTTTCAATTATGTACCAGTTTAGACCAATGCTTATGCCACTATACTTCTGGTTTATGCACAGATTAAAAATGGGACAAAGGATCACATTGGGTTTCAGAGTGGAATCAGTCATCTTAGAAAAGCTCTTCACATGTACCCTAACAGTAATTTAATAAGGTATATTTTGATTCTAGCTGGCATTTTTTTGGAAGTCCCTAAGCAACAATTAGGAATTTAAAAAGGTGCTATTTGTTATTACTGTGTGCGTTTTGCTGCTACCTATACCAAACATGGAATATATATTTAGTCTAAGCTTTCCACCAAAAAACTTGAAAGTCTAACATCATTGTCGTGTGAACAGGAATCTACTTGGTTATCTTTTGCTAGGCAGTGAAGTGTGGGGAAATAGTCATCTGTCAAGTAGATGTTCCATCATCGATGCTTCTGACTCTAAGAAAAAAGAGGGCTTAAAGTCTGGCTGGGAGATTTTCAGTGCCGGGGCAGTTGCTTGCCATGCAATCGGCAATAGTGAACCGAGGTTCTCTTTCCCAACATGTGGCTGTCAATGCTCGGGTTCTGGAGCTGTGCAAGAACTACAAAAGTATTTTAACTATCACCTGTTATAGGTTATTTATTTCTTTCATGGTTATTGGCTTGTAGGTTAATACTCTAGAAACCAGTGGGTTGTTCGCTGCATTTTAGGAGTTTGTTACTTATTGCAACCCTGAATGGAATACATTATGCAATTCCTAAATTTGGCATAGATAACAATTTTCTTTACTCTACCTTAAGAAGGTCTACCTGCATCCCCTCCCCTCAAAGAAGAGGATGAAAATCTCTGTGTTTGTTATGTAATCAAAAATGATCTATTTTCAATTTGCAGGTGCTTACGCAGAGAGCCATGGAACCATAATGCACGATACTTGCTTGTTCTTAATCTTTTACAGAAAGCACGGGAAGAGAGATTTCCTGTAAACATTTGTATTGTTCTTGAGCGCCTCATAAGTGTGGCTCTTTTTGATGAGTTCTATTCCGGAAAAGAAGCCCCTTCTCAATATCAAAAGTTTCAGCTTTTTTTATGTGCTTCTGAGATTCTTTTGCAAAGTGGGAATATAATGGGCTGTATTGACCAGGCAAAAGATGCTTCAGCACTTCTTCTTCCAGATAGCTACCAGTTTTTTGGACACTTACTATTATGTCGTGCCTATGCTGCTGAAGGAAATTTAAAAAATTCTAAAGAAGAATATCAAAGGTGCTTGGAGCTTAAGACAGATTTTCATGTTGGTTGGTTATGCCTAAAAGTAATGGAATCTCAATATCAAGAGCAAACTCTTTCAAATATTTTTGATTTAGCCTTCGAGGAAGGCTCAAAAGGGAGGAATGATTCATGGAATATGTGGATGGCTGTATATAGTTTAGTGATGGGTATGATATGTATATGGAATCAGGATTTTCTTTCCGCAGAGGAATTTCTGGGTCAACCTTGTTCGTTAACCAGTGCTGAAAGCTGCATTTTCCTTTGTCATGGTATCCACCTATTGATGGAGATTAGTTTTTTTGGATGATTTCTTCTAAGTATCAATATGCTGATTTAAGGTTCAGCTACTTATGGATTTTTGTGTGCGAGTGTATTTTAATTTTCCCTTCTCATGGAGGCAATATTGTTGATGGTTCAGGTGTCACTTCTATGGAGATTGCTAAGAGGTGTAATGATTCAGAATCTTTATCCAATGCCATAAGGAGTCTCAGTAAAGTTCAACAGACTTCATCGGTCCCAATACCCATTGTCTCAGCATTGTTAGCCCAAGCAGAAGGAAGCATTGGATCCAGGAAAAAATGGGAGAGAAACCTTCGCCTTGAATGGTTTTCTTGGCCACCAGGTTCACTCCTAGTCCACCCTTTCTTTTTAATGTTGTATCTGTGTTGTTTTTGGTTTATACATTCGCACAGACGTATATATTGTCACTGAGGGTGTGTTTGGACGAGGAATTTGAAGGAGGAAACATATTTGTACTGAGATTTTCAAAAAATTTAATGTAAAATTTCATTGTTTGACAAGACAAAATTAGAACTTCAAAAAATTCTTAAAATTTGAAAGAGGAATTTAGATGGCTTAAATTCTCTTTTCAAAATCCATCTATACAGGTGGAATTTATGAAATACCTTGATTTTTGTTGAGATTAACATTTCTTATATTTTCTTTTTCTATGTGATTACTATTATTTTTCAATTCTAATTATAAAACTCTTTTCAAAATATTTTTTTTCTATTTTTTTTTCTATTAGATATCTATTCATTTTTACAAATCTAGTGACATCCATATTGCTTTATTTAATTTTTAATATTATTATTTCTATATCATAAAGATTTTATCTGGAATTCTCTTTCTATTAATCAAACAATGTAATAATTATTTCTGACATCTTCAAAATTTTAAAATTCCTCGTCCATAACGCAGTAGTGTATGTCTACACATGTTTGTGAAATTGGTTGATTACTTACTATGTTGCTGGAGATTTTGAAGAGATTACAAAAGAACAAGCTCTACTGTTAATTGCAATGTTAGCGCCTCCTCCCTGACTGGTTGATGCATTTCTTGTTCCATATAAAGGGGAAATGGCAAAGGAGTTGGGGTTGGGGGTGCTAAACAGTTGTCCAAGAGCCTGTCATAGTATTCAGTGGCTAAACAAACTTGCTTATTTTTTTATTTAGTTCTCAACAACGAGTAATCACTTGATGTATATTGAAAAGGGGTCAAATTCTTCTGTTATTCCATGTACTATGCATAAGTTGTGAATATAGTCCTTGTATAATTTGATCATTTTTAGTCCTTGTACTTTTCAAGTTTTGAAATTTGGTCCTGACCCAAATTGTAGCCGTGAAATGCAAATCAAATGTTACTATTCATCCATGTTATATGCAAGTTATAGATTTATTTCATGTTCTCCAATTTGATAATTTTAAGTTCCTCTATTTTAATCTTAGTGTCCCGACTCAAATAATAGTCTTAATGTTCTTTTTTTTTTTTTTTTGAGACGAGTCTTAATGTTCTTGTATTATTTGAATCGGGACTATAATTTCAAAATTCAAAAAGTGCAGAGGCTTGAATTGTCTAAATTAGAGTACATAGGCTAAATCCACAACTTATGTATAGTACAAGAACTAGTGACATTATTTGACTACAAAAGCCACAACCAAGTATATACGAAGGCTTTTGTTGGGTTACTCTTCCCCGTCGGGAACTTAATCATTTCTCTCATCTCATACATGTAAAACTTCCAAGCTCGCTACTCTGTGTAGGAAGCTGAACCTCCCATGTAGCTTTCAACAACCCAAGTCTTGTCAATTAAGAGATGTATAATGAGTAAAAGTTATATTAGACCGATCACTTTATCTGGGTCTTGCGAAATGGGATCCTTTTATACTGACTATTTATTTTCATGGGAGTAGTCTGTAAACGAGTGCTGCTAGACATTAGCATCCATTGTGTCACTGGATGTTCTGTCAATGGAAGGATTAACCCTAATATACTAAATCTAATTTCATAATCGGGCTTGATACATAAATGTTTCTCGATTGTGAATAAAAACATTTGATGCTAAAGCAAAAGTAGCTCCATCTTCAATGATGATTCACACGAGTAATGTTTATTTTTTGTGCAGAAATGAGACCGGCAGAACTTTTCTTTCAAATGCATTTACTTGCGAGACGGGTTGAATCTGAGTCTGACAGTTCATCCAGGGTGGAGTGCTGCCAAAGTCCCCTGCAATGGGTTCTTCAAGCCATCCACACAAACCCTTCTGACTCGAGATATTGGAAAGTTTTGCCCAAGCTTCTGTAACAACAGGGACTCAATTCTGCAAATTGAACAATATGCAAAACTTTCAAGATCGTGTTTTGTTTATACAGATTACAGAATGAATGCCAAGTAGGACTTGTTCTTCATCTTAAACTTGGATTTTGTGGATTGACCTCTGTTTCCTTTCATGCAATTGATTGTCCTTTCTTTTTGTGAAGTAACTACAGCTGCTTCCTAAATATATGAACTTTGACAGAATGTTTTTTTTTTCAAAAAAAGAAGTTAGTTATAGGGACAATTGCAATTACAGATTATACATCTGACTCTTTTGAAGTTGCCTTAAAATTTCTATTGAAAAATTGATTTGGCAAGAATAAAATGGTCAAATGGCAGGCAGCCACATACGAGATGAGGCTGGTAGCCTATCCACACATTTGGGAATTTCATTCAATTTGCAAAAATGGCCCCAAAAAATTCAATGATATATGTGGAGCATAGAAAAGCCCGTTCGCAATACCCTGCTTCTGGTATGGGCTTCTGCAACTCAATAACAAGTAGCTGAGCCATTTGAAAAGTAGGTTTAGGTTACAAGTTAGAAGCTTTGAAAGAAGCAAAATGATGCTGATGCAACAAACCTGGGCACTATTTTCATCGAAGCCAGCTTGGGTGAAAGCACAATACAGCACATCCTCCATCGATTCTAATCCCATGGCTGCTACCGTCCCCGGCCACGCCCCCAAATGGGCTCAGAAGACCATTACTCTTCCTCCCCTTCGGAGAGGCTGCCATCTCGTTACGTCTCAGGTAACCAGCATGCCTACTCCCTTTTGCCTGCCAATAATTCCATTCCATTAACCGTAAACTTTTCTTTTGGTGTTCAGATATTGAAAGAAATTAGGCCCGGTTTATCAGATTTTAAGTGTGGCCTTGCTCATCTATTCCGTGAGTGTCTCTTTTTCGCTATTTTTTACTTTAATTCTCTATCCCTCTGTACAATGATTTTTATGTTTATTTTTTTAACTATGTACTCGTATATTTTGCGATTTCACAATTCCAGTGCAACACACAAGTGCTTCTCTTACCATCACTGAGAATTATGATTCGGATGTTCGTGACGACACCGATACATTTCTCAGCAAAATAGTTCCAGAGGTATACAGATAGCAGAATGTATAGGGTTTTATTTTATTTTCTTTTAAATGGTGCTTGAAATATCAATCTTCATTTTGCAGGGAAGGTCTGCGCCTTGGAAGCATACGCTTGAAGGTTTGTGTCTGTCCATGTTCACAAATTCAGACTCCTTGCTCTTTCAGCTTGAACCCTTCTCTTCCCTTCCATGTCAGTTTCTTAATATTTAAGCTTCGTTTTAACCTTTGCAGGCCCTGATGACATGCCAGCCCATATCAAATCATCCATGTTTGGCTGCGCCCTAACGTATGTATATTTGTTCGATAAGATCCATCTATTTTTTTTCCTTTGAATTGGATGAAAAGATTTGGTCTTCAGTCTCCATTTTCACCTTATCTTCATGTTATTATTCTACAGGGTTCCTATTACAGATGGAAAACTTAACATGGGAACTTGGCAGGTACATCATATTTAGACAAATATTGACAGTGACCATCCAAATCAGCTTTGAATGCCCTTTGATTAATTTGCCCCAAGACTGCTACAACTTGGGTTACATCTTGTTTGAACCTGCTTTGCAGTTTTCCCACTTAACAAAAATGAACAATTTAGTTTCCTCTCTGTTATGGTTTAGGGCATTTGGCTTTGTGAGCATCGCGATGCCCTGACAGCTCGTAGAGTGGTGGTGACTCTCAATGGCATCTAAGGTACTAAATGTGGAGAGGCTCTGTTTCCCCCAACCGTGTAATTGTATTATACTTAAGATGCTTTCGTGATCACTATCCTATATTTGTTGATGGGATACACTAATGTGAGTAGGAATGGTATAAACTAGTTTTTTTGCTTTGTCCAAGTGACATTGATTGCAATGAGTTTGTAATCAGTTGTGATTGACGCTTCTACCTGAAATCCTTTTGCTTTCGTTGATTTTCTTCTTCTCCTCCTCCTCCTCCTCCTTAACACTCAGTTTACTTTAATTTTCTTTCTTTCACAATTCTTATACTGTCTGTCTGTCTTTCTTCTTCTTCCTCCTCCTTCTTCTTAACACTCAGTTTACTTTAATCCTCTTCCTCTTCCTCTTCCGCTTCCGCTTCCGCTTCCGCTTCCTCTTTACTTTAATTTTCTTTCTTTCACAATTCTTATACTGTCTGTCTATTTTTGAGTCAACGACTGAAAATCGTAACCACCGGAGGAAGACGGTATTGGATTACAAGATACATGACATAAAGAACTATATCAATAATTATCATCCAACCAGCCAATTGCACCAGTCGAAGCTAGGTTCGGGGATACTATTCAACCAAGAAAAACAGCAAAAGTATAAAAATTGCTCCGAGCAGATTTATCTTTTAATAACTAATAATAATTTATAGAGTATTTTGGAAATGAAATGAACTAGGTTTAGACAAGAGTGCTCATGGTTCAATTTTTTTAAAACATAATCTTTTAGCTAGTAGTCATTAATAACATAAAAAATAGCAATATCCATGATACAAATTGGTAAACTGGAATTAAACTCATAAAGTATATATAAATAGTTACCTGATTATAAAGCCTTACTTTGTTGAATATCTCGATTATTAAAAATTATAAAATGATTTTTCGATTATAGGATGTTATTTTATTGAGTTGTTCGACTATTAAAATTTATAAAATAATCTAACTATTCATATGTTGTAAATTTTTCCTTTTCCATTAAAAAATTGACGGTTGTCTGAGTTTGACGTTAACTTGCTTATTAGATTATGATAAAATCATATTTTAATAATGTTTATTGGTAAAAAAAATTGACAATCATTTGAGTTGGCCGTTAACTGGTTCGACGTCATAATGTTTCAAGTACTGACTTTATGACATAATGTAAACAAAGAATCGATCTAAAAAATACGGCTCAAATAGTTGTGGGATCAAATTTTATCATATCTGAGTCCACATGTTAACGTCCAGCTCAGGCATATGTTAATTTTTTAACAGAAAATAACAAATTCAAAACATATGAATAACCGAGTGACTATTTTGTAACTTTTAATAGTCAATGGACTTAATAAAGAAACGTCTTATTGACGGAACACTATTATGTAACTTTCAATAGTCAAAGGAATTAAGAAAACTGTGTTCTATAGTTAAGGGACCAATTGTGTATTTTACCCAAAAATCTAAAGCTTTAGAGAATATTGAAGCATAGCAAGCGAGAGCTTTCGTTGTACTATTGTAGATCGTCGAATATGATAATAAATTTAATTATCAAAATATATGAATATTAATCAAAACTATTCTTATATAAACGAAGAAAATATTAAACAAATCAAGTGGACTTCAAATCTAAAGCTAAACATAAATTTTATTTGTCAATTTAATCAGCCTCCAAACCTGACATTAGAACATATAAAAAATTTAAATTTATATGAAAATAAATTATACTTATTTTATTATTTAATAATTTTTTAACAATGATAGATTTTACTAATAAAAATAATGAAAGAAATTAAAATTACAACATACTCAAACATAGAAAGAAAAATAAGATAATTGGCATAAAAACTCATACATAAAATAAAACATTAAACCTAAAGATACGAAGAAAAACGAAATATTATGTTGTGAATGGCGTCTAATATTAAAAGAACGAAGTAATTTTCATAAAACTCATTGTCTTTGTCGAATAAGATGTTTTAATGAAGTGATAAAAAAGCGATGAGCAAACCAAAACTGTTTGGCATATTACTTCTCTACACAATTTTATTAAATTAACAAACAACATTTGACCAAAGAGGAGATCTGACAATACGTGACTACCGACTAACCAATTTGTTGAACCACTTTTTATAATATTTTGATATAATAAATTTAGATAAAATATTTTTGGACTTGAATTGAGTTTATTCAAAAAAATTCAAAAATAATTTTAAGTCCATTAAAACTAGAATTTGAGATCAAAACGTTTTTAGTATCGATATTGCATGAACAGTATTGATATTGTTCACGTGGTACCGATATCAAAGGTAAGAGAAGTATCGATACACTCTAGGTAATATCGATACTACCAGCTTGTTCAAATTTCAAAATGCAAAATAGGTACCGATACTACTTTACATAGTAATATTGATATCATGAACAAAGTATCAATATCGTCATGCCCAATGGCTAGTAACAGCTAGTTTTATTTAAAAATATTAAAGGAAGTACCGATACTCATTAAAGGAGTATCAATACTCCCTGTCCTTGGCAGTTTTATTTTACAGAGAAAATATCTCCAAAGGCTCCAAATCACTTCCAACGGCTAGAAACGGACACAAACACATTCAAACATATAAATACAAGTACAAGACACTTGAAGAAGAGTAAAAACACATATCCAAACATTCAAACACAAGAGAAACCTTTTGTACTCTATTTTTTTCTATTGTAAATAGTTGTGTTTTCGTGAGCTTTAATTTTGTTAACACCTACCTTTTAGAAGTTTCTTTGTTTATTCTTCATTCTTTTTGTAAAAGGGGTTTTTGTTCTATCTTAGTTAAGTGAAAAGATAGGGAGTTTGTAAAGATTACTCTTGATCATTGAAAAAGAAAAAACAAATTAGTGAATTTGTTGGAAAATCCTAAGTGAGGAGTTTAGGTAGTGGATGTAGACTAGTTGAGAAATCGAACTACTATAAATCTTTGTACAAAAGTGTTTATCATTTCTTTCTCCTTACTTCCTAAACACAATTTTTCAATTCACCCATCTTGGTACATTTTCAGTTGTCAATTTGAGCTTCATAAATCTTAACACAATCAGAAAATAAATGTCGTGAGAATCTTTGTGCGAGCACCAACACGATCGTAGATGTATACGAAAAACATACCAAACGCCACGAGGAATATGCCGCAAAAACATAGAAAAAACATATCACAATGAAAGAGATTTTTATTTAAAATTGAAAAAACTAAAAAGAAAAAAAAAAGAAAACAAATAATATAGAATTAAAAAAATAAGAAAAAAACAATCAGATACAATCAATAACCAAAATTAAGATTAATGTCACCGTCAATTAAACAAAAATCAAATAGAGATATAACATCATAAAAATATTGAGCGAACTTTTTTATTTAATTAATTTAAGGTAAATATAATGTAGTAGTTATTCAAATATATATCTCAATCATTTGAAATTGAATGTTTAAATCTCATTCATAATATTTAAATTCGAAACTTTAAAAAATAATAATAATTTTTTTTATCACCAAAATTGATTATTTCTAGTTCATGCATCGAACAAAATTTTAGGTTAGAGAAAAGTAGATAAATTTAGTACATTATTTTCATTAAAGATGTATTTTAAAATAAAATTGGAATTTATTGATTTTAAAAACAAAAATTGAGATTTTTATTGAATATCGTTGAGAAGGTACTATTACTATATAGTTCGAGAACCCGACAGAGGAAAGAAAGGAAGGAAGCAATGGCGGAAAAATCTCCGGTGAAAGAAGTTGCTTTCTCAGAGAGCATCCCCATCTCGAACTCAAACCAGTTGAAGCAATCTCCGCAGTTCTCCGCCAAATTGACCACCCCAACGCCACCCATCTCCGATATCCCCTCCACTCCCACCAGCCGTCTTCCTCCCGTCGATGCCGACGTTATTCATGTCCCCAGCTACTCCCGTAAGTGCTCTCTTTTCTTAGCCTTCCTTCTTTCCCCTCCCCCAATTTGTTTTCTCACTTGGATTTTGTCAATTAATGATGTTCCTCTTCCTTATTAATATTTTTTGGGGGGTTGGCGGGTTAAAATAAACAGGGTGGTTCTCGTGGGACAAGATAGACTCTTGCGAGTCCCGTTTCCTTCCGGAGTTCTTCGATGGACGCTCGTCCAAAGGCCCTAGTCTTTACAAGTATTACAGGAACTCAATTATAAAGTTATTCAGGGAAAACCCTTCGCGTAAGATTACCTTCACTGAGGCCAGGAGGAATCTCGTCGGCGATGTTGGCTCCATTCGAAGGGTTTTTGATTTCCTCGACCACTGGGGTCTCATCAATTACTCTGCCTCTTCGGCTCTCTCCAAGCCCTCCAAAAATACCGCTTCTAATAATAAATCCTCGGATTCCCCTTCTCTTGAATCCCCTTCTACGGCTGCCCCCACCCCCAAGCAGTCCTCTACTTCTCGGCGATTTTGCGGGGAATGCAAGTCCCTTTGTACCATTGCTTGCTTCGTTTGCGACAAGGTCTTTTTAATAACATATTCTTGTTACCATTTTCTACTTGTGTTTCCTTTTATTCTCAAGTCTAATTAATGAGCTTCATCTTACTTTTAATTGAGGAAAGGACACAGCATTATGTTAACTATTGAGATGCCCTAGCTGCTGAGTTTTTTAATCCTCCTTTGTTGTGCAGTATGACTCCACCCTGTGTGCAAGGTGCTATGTTCGGGGCAACTTTAGGGTTGGTCTAAGCAATGCTGATTTCAGGCGGGTAGAGATCAGTGATGAAGCCAAGGCAGATTGGTCAGAAAAAGAGACCTTGCTGCTTCTTGAAGCCATTATGCATTATGGTGATGACTGGAAGAAGGTTGCGCAGCATGTTGGTGGTAGAACCGAGAAGGAATGCGTGGCTCATTTCGTTAAACTTCCTTTTGGGGAGGAATATCTTGGTCATCCATTATCTGATGATGCCGAGTCTGGATTTGATCCTAATAAAAGTATGCGCCTCACACCTCTTGCCGATGCAAGCAACCCAATCATGGCTCAGGTTGGCTTTTTTCTTGTTTTACTAGGAACGTAATGTATCATGGACACGGAATTTACTAAGCTAATATTTGAACTCAAAAGCATCCAACTTTTGTGTTGCCATCATCTTCATCACAAGTTCGTACTGCCGTCTGCTTAACTTGCCGTTTACATCGGTGCCACAAAGTACTAGGGAATGTCAAGTACCTGCATAAACTTGTGATAACTAAAACTCAAACATCATTCAACCTGATATTTGTTGCCTGCCAGTGTGTGTTATTGGTCCATCATGTGCTTTGACAGCAATGGATTTGGATAATTTAGATGCCGCTGTTCAACAATTTGTTACTGTAGTCAATACACATTTTGTTATTTCATTTGAGGGGAAAGGGGTGCTTAGTACTGTTAGATTTACAGGGAAGATCCAACAGATTATAAGCATTAATTTTATACACAAAAATAGATATCACTTTTGTTCCAAAACATCAATTATCCAATATTGTTGTGGTTTTGTTTTAGTAATAATTGGTTCACTTGCTACTTCTCTTTCAGTCTGCCTTTTTGTCAGCTTTGGCTGGTGTGGAGATTGCAGAAGCAGCTGCCCAAGCAGCTGTTAACATTCTATCTAAGATTGATGACACCACAGCTAGCAGAGGGGGCAATGGATCTCTTGAAAGAAACGCAAAACAAGGTTTGAACGCCTCCTGGTTTTACACTTAACTTCCAAGCATTGCAGCATTTACTAATTGAGTTGCATTTTTTCTTGATTGGATCTAGGACTCATGATTTCTTGGAGGTGTCATCTTTTTTAGCTTGATATTGTGGTTTATTAGTTATTGATATGCAGCCCACCCCTATCATCGCAATAGATGATGTAACACTTTATTAGGTTTCCTTGCTCGTGACAAGCTGCAAAAAAGTTTACATGGTAGTCAGGTCAATTTAACATTTGACATGCACTGATGTGTTGGCTCCAAATAGTTTGGTTTTAGATATTTCCACAATGAATCATCCAAACGTTGAGAAACAAAAAATATATGTTGATAGAAATTAGATAAATGCAAAAGATCATCTAGCACTCTGCTCACAGTTTTGTCGGGTTTTTATTGGTGAGACTGGCATATGGCTGAGGCTTTATCTCATTGTGGCACAGAATCAGAAATTTCATCTAACGGTGACGCCAACCAAAATGCATTGGAAAGAGCATATGCAGATGCAAAATCACAACTAGACAAGGAAGAACAAGATATTGAAAGAGCAATTACTGAGATTACAGAAGTGCAGGTATGTAAGATTTTAAAGATCAGTGTCTAGGATGTTGGTTTGTATAGTTATGTACTATATACCCTGAGCTGTGCAGATGAAAGAGATCCAGGACAAGATTCTTCGCTTTGAGGAGATGGATTTGCTGATGGAGAAAGAGAGACAACAATTGGAGAGCATGAAGCATCTACTCTTTATTGACCAGCTCAATCTTTCATTTCGTAAGAATTCAAATTAGACATGAAAAACTGAAGAACAAGTGATTGAGAACGTTAACCGCAGATGATTTGTAATTAGTTGTTTTATTTTTCTATATTTTGCCTGTGCCAATGGTGAACAATTCTTGAATTGCAAGTAAATTGCGTTAACGATGTTTCTGTAATATATAGGCAAAAGTGAATCATAGTTTAGCAATAACCAAAGCTCCTGATCCGAGTTAAAAATATGATGTTCTTATGTGCCTATATATTATATAGGGTAAACTACAGGTTTAGTAGTCCAACTATCAGTTTTCTTCCGTTTTGGTCATCTAATTATTTTTTTTAAATCATATCTAAAGTTTAGTTTTGGTTTCATTTTGGTCACTTATTATTAAAAAAATAACGGTGATGTTATCTGTCATCATAAGATAATATCATGTCATAATTGAAAAAAAAATTAAAAATTATTATGTCAGTAGTTTTGTTAATTTTTTAATTTTTTAATAGTGTGATTGAAATAAAAATAATAGTTTAGTGACTAAATTGAAACAAAAATGATAGAAATGCAAAATATGTAGTTTACCCTATTATATAAGATGTATGTGAGAAATTAAGAACCATAGAATCATTGGACGACAATGGACTTGTAATGAAGTGTGGTTTAATTTTAAAGACGTGGGCCAAGCAAAGCTGACTGGGCCACTCACTCCATTGATTGATGGACCCTATGAGTATAAATTGAGCATTGTGCGCGGATTTGTTTGGTTTAAGAGGAGCGACGTTACCCCAAAAAGGTTCTGAGTAATCAGAGCTAGATAGAAGCCCCACCACCTGACAGCAACAGTAATTAAAGAGAAAAATAATTGAAAAAGTAGGCCTATAAGGCTACGGACTATGAACCTAGCTTCCTAGCTGCAGCCTGCAGGTAAAGGTCAAAGGTAATAGATAACCCTTTCATATATAATATTATTATAATCTGACCAGCGAAACTTAGCATTTATGTAAATAAATTAAAGACACTTAAGTGAGAGAATAGCAAATGAATGATTGGGTTAAAGCAAGTCGTATACATTACAGGTGCAGGACAGAGTAGAGAGGATCCTAGCCGTTGTTATCTTTTACTTAGGTGATTCAATAAGATCCGAACTCCGCTTTGTTGCTGCTTACTACAGAGATTGTAGAGCCAGCGACAGCTTACGACAGCCTTGTTAATTTACCTAATCATTCTACACGTGCAACAACGTCGACATTTCTTTCAACTTTCAAGGAAAGCAACACCTCATTACTTATTTAATACATTTATAGATATAGGAACTCGATTCTTCAATTCTCTACCTCATCTAACCACGTACATTATAGCATTTTGTGTATATTAAGTAGAAAAGTTTTGAAGATTATAAGTTAATTGAATTTTTAATTTGACTAATATTTTTATTGGTACGATATATAAAAGAGAAAATTAGATAATCCTTATTTTCATATGTAATGGGATAAGGGGAGGTAGGATAGTAGGTTGACTCCCAACGCAAGGTTGAAAACAATTTTCGTGGAAGACCTTCAAATTATGAATTACTCTTTGTGGGACTCGATCCCACAATCACAAGATTAAAAGAGTATACAATGGAATATGTTCAAATGCTTAAATGAAAATAATATCTCTGGGCTATTCTGAAGCTGGTAGTCTCTTTGTTGTACCACAACTAAAAATCAACACTACTATTTATATTTTATGCCTGATAAATAAATAATTAAGCGGTGATGATGATGATGATCTCACTGTTATTAATCAGAGAATTTGAAACCATCTCACTCTTTTCTCTCTCCCTGTATGCTCACATACGCACGCATAAATCTCATCCACTCTGCAACCGACTTTGCATTTGCATTTACTACACCCTTCTCTCTCCTATGTACGCGCATTAGTTTTTTTCAAAAGCCTCAAACCCTCTTGTTTTTCCAAGAAACTACTTTTAGATTTTTTCCCCAGGTTTGCAAGGTCTTTCTCTTTCAGGTGCATGTTACTGACCCTCATTGCCCATTCCTTTCATTCACAACCACAACCACAACGAGCCCTTGATTTGTTTCTACAAACCACAAACCCTCTCGCTCTATCCTTGTCTTGTTTTCTCATTTCAAAACATAAGAATTGGGTAGAGCTGTGTTGGAAGATGTTGGCAGTTGAAGAACTTCTAAGTGAACTTGCTGGGGAAGAAGTAAACGAGCAAGGTTTGCCCCCAGGGTTTCGATTTCACCCCACTGACGAAGAACTGGTAACCTTTTATTTAGCTTCAAAGGTATTTAACGGAACCTTCTGCGGAGTAGAGATTGCAGAAGTTGACCTTAACAGATGTGAACCATGGGAGCTTCCAGGTATATATATTCTTGCTTTTAAACTAAAGTGTTAATGGTGTGATTATTATATGAAATTATCCAAGAATATTCTCTACCCGCCTTACATCATCGCATTTTCTTAGCATGGATTGACATGCTTCTATATATTCCTTACAATCTCATATAAGTCTGTTGCTTTCCTATCAGCCAAGCCTAAGGAGATAGATACTTTCTTTCTTTTTTTCCTTTTTGGGATAACCTTAGAATGCTGGTTTCTTTGCTAATGGAGACTAGTAAAGCTGTAGTTTAGGAGTTAGAGTGATCTCTGATCTTCAAATACCTTAATAATCCTGCTGCATCTTGGTTATGTTCTTACCAGATTCTATGAATTTTGCACTGTATGCATTTATATGTATAATAAGTATGTTGGCAGGAAATCTTGCATACTAACAGAAGAAGTGGAACCCTAACTAGAGAGTTCAGGTCTAGTAAACATTTCCACCAAATTTTGGAGACATGTTGGGTTTATTGCAATATTTCTTGCAGGCATTTTAAATTCGAAAAATTTAAGACTTGGTCATTAATATTCAGAGTATTGATAAATATTGTACTCCAAATTATTGAAGACTATATATGTATATGGCTGTGTATGTTAATAAATATATTGTGTATCTTTAGTTTCTGGTAAAGAAAATATGCAGTAGCAATTAATTTGACATGATCAGACGTGGCGAAAATGGGGGAGAGGGAGTGGTACTTCTTCAGCCTGAAGGACAGGAAATACCCGAGCGGGCTGAGAACAAACAGAGCCACGGGAGCCGGGTACTGGAAAACCACAGGCAAAGATAGGGAAGTGTACAGTGGCTCAAGAAGAGCACTTTTGGGCATGAAGAAAACCCTTGTTTTCTACAAGGGCAGAGCACCCCGTGGAGAGAAGACCAAGTGGGTTATGCATGAGTACCGCTTGGACGGTGACTTCTCCTGCCGCCCCTCCTGCAAGGTAAATCGCACCCCCCTTCCGCCACACGAGCGGTGCCGTGGGAATCTAATGTCATCTCATTCATGATCTCTCTTTGTCGCTTTCTGGATGTAACTTGTTCGTTCTAATATAATATAATATAATATAATAATAATTGTCATGAAACTGATCATCTGCACTGGTAGGGGCATGGTATATTGTGTTTGCGTGCATGCCGACTTGACAACTTTCACCTTATTATTAACCATTCCAGCTAGCAGACTAGTTTTGATGTGATTGGTTTTGGTTTTCACTCCATCGCGCCATTTGGCTGTCAGTAGCAGCAGCTGCCATTTCTGTATTTTCTTATTCGTTTCTCTTAATAATTTAATCATACAACCAAACATCCCCAGGGGAAGCCTGTGTATGGGCGTATCGTCCTTGGTATTTGTAATTAACATGCTTATGCACTGATTACTGGTTATACTTTGTGCAGGAAGAATGGGTGATTTGCAGAATATTTAACAAAACGGGTGAGAAGAAAAATGCACTAGATCAAGGACAAAGCAATGTGATGGCAGTATCTTCGTCTTCAGCAACTCTTTTGCCTCCGCTGCTTGAAACGCCGGGCCCAGCATCGTTCTTAGAATCTCCATCTCAAACTCTAATGCAAGCTCACAATTCTTATCTGATTCACCGCCAAGAAAAATACCTGAAAAGCCTGATAAACACGGTTGTCCCACAATCACAGTCCCGCCTCTTCCCATCCAATGGGTTCCTTTCAACCACATCCACCACTACTGCTAGTAGCGCAACCGACAAGCACACGGAGACAAACGCCAACTACTCATCAGCGTCGATGCCTTTCAAGTCCCTACTCTCACATCAAGGTTGCATTTCGAAGGAACAAGCTACTATTCATAGACTTTGCAAGACAGAGGCTAACTTTTCCCATTTAGATTCCAACACTACCATGAAGTGGCTGGACAAGATTCATCCCAACCCTCTATGTCAAAATCCCATCCTTGAGATGGATTATTCTGTGTTGGGGTTTTCTGGAGGTGCAGTTACGGGCCATGACATGTCCACTTCAATTGCTTTCAACACGGCCAGTGGTCAGATTATTTTAAATCCCCCCGCCACGGCCTCTGGAGAATCCTGGCCACTGGATTGTTAAGATCTTTTATGTTGTTAGGAATAGGATCCCTATTATGATCCATGTATGTGCATACATATATATTGGGTTATGGGTTTTAATTGTTTCTGTGTTTACGAGTATCTTAAGCACAATTTTTAGAATGAATCCAAATATATTATTCAGCGTATCTTGGAAGAAAAGGCAAGACATAACAAAACTAAAAGCTAATGCTGGTGGTATAGAATGTGAGACGGGGCTATAAGTGGATGTGAGCGGTGATGACGAAAAGCTTTTATTATACTTAAATAAAATTAAGTTTTTATATATGTAAAAATTCCTAGAAAATTCATCTAATAAAATTAAGTCTACGACGTTAGTCGATTGATACTATTAAAAATGAAATCTTAAAATTAAGAGTAAAAAAAACTTTTATTTGACGTGACACCATGGATGGGATGGGATATGTTTACAATGTTTGGGGTCACCTATAGGGTACGATTGATGTGATCATGCTTAGGGGATGGTGGGTGAAATAGGGTTCCTTGAGCTTTGCACCTAAGTTTAGTAGGGCGTGGTGTAGGGAGACAGGGGGTTTGGGCATAGATATGACCGTATCCCGAGAAACATGCATTCATGCATTGCTCATCATTGGATTTATTTCTGTCATCGTTGCTTTCTTGAGCA